GGAAACAGATAAGTGAATCTGTCGTATGCTCATATTCGGTGCAAGTTGTAAAAACTGGGGCACGTTCTCCTCCCTCCTGTTGGATGACTGAGATATTTATACCTGCCAAGACAGTATGACTTCATCATGTGGAATGTGGTTGATTCTAATACAAATTTTAAAAATCAAATAAATGAACTGGGCTTTGAAAATATTTTCATTATTGGGGATTTTTTTTCTCCTCGTCACTGAATTGAGCCTACAGGAATGTCTCGCTGAGTGACATGGGGCCAACCTAATTTATTTACACTGAAGTCGAGGCCCTCTAACAAAGGCTGTGGGAACATGGATTCCCCGCTCTCTCAGAGTCTTTTAGGTGAGGCAAAGCACGCTCTCTCTGTGTCTGCTCACCCATCTGTAAAATGTGAAGAGCCATTCTTGCCTCCAGGCAACTGAAGGTTCTCGGGACCCCGAGATGAAGGTGTTCCAGCTGTATAAATGACAGGTGCAGGACCGATCAAACACTCAAGAGGGAATTCTACAGGGAAAAGAAGTCTAATCACCACCTTCTCCATTTTTGCATTTTATCAAGAATTAGGCAAGACGGCTAAGTTTAGGAATGAAGTGGTTAAAACAACAGGCCTTGGATTCTGGACTTTTCCCTGACTGATAGCTTTTGGATCCCATTCCCCACTCCTTTGCGGTGGGAGTTCGTTATGAAGACGAATCTCTGACAAGGTAAGGAGCTGCCTCCCCGCTCTGTACACACAGGGCGGAGTCCTCATGTAATCACGCCGTAGGAGGAGAGGCGGGTTGCTATGTAGCCTTGATTTCCAGCAAGGTAAAAGGCCTCTGGTACCATCCTGTGTCAGTATGTAGCAGGGCCTGGTGGAGAGCCCTTGATGGGAAAGCTCCTTCTCTGAAAACATCTCAATTTATGACTCCTGTGCTAAGCATTTCTGGGCGGTCAGACTGAATCTCTAGTGCATTGCAGAAAAGTGTTTGCCCTGTAGCAAAAGGGTCAACTTTAAAAGAATAGACTTTTCCATGTTTAAAAAAAAAATGAAGAAAACAAATCAGTGACTCCCGGATTAGGAACAGAAGGGAAGGAAGAGTTCATGGCCACAGAAGACTGAATATTGTGAATATTTGTCCCTTCAGATGAAAAGCAACTTACTGGGGCCAGAGAGAGGAAATTTTAAAAACAGAATAAAAATACTTACAAATGTTTCCAGAACTGGCGTAAGTCCAGAGATTAAGAGGGTAGGTTACCACTGGGTGGACATTTTTTTTTTCTTATCTCTTATCCTCCTGTTCTGTGCAATGCATGATGGCCTATGCTTAGTTGTAGGAGCCAATAACCACCCACTACCACTTTCTTTCCAAAAAAAGGGAAGAAGAAGAAGAAAACAAAGCCATGACTCCTGGAATAGGAAAGGTAGAGTGTCAAAGGCAGAGAAATCCATCTGCTGGTTCCTTCTCCACATGGCAGCAAAAGCCAGGACTGGGCCAGGTCAAAACCAGGAGCCAGGAGCCAGGAACTCTATTCAGGTTTCCCTCAAGTACTTGAATCATCGTTTGCTGCCTCCCGGGTGTGTGAGCAGGGAGCTGGATTAGAAGTGGAGCACCCTAGAGTCAAACTAGCACTCTGATATGGGGTGCTGGCAAACCAGGCATCGTCTTAACCCACTGCACCACAGCACTGGTCCAACACCCGAGAGGTCTGCTCCTGACTTAGCGTGGGTGTCTACGGAGACCAGGTGGGCAGAGGAGCACGGGGTAATGAAGAACATCTGTGTGGGCCCCAGGAGTCACAGCGTACGTCACCTCTCTGAGAATCAGTTTTCTTAGCCATGGCAAGAGAGAGTTGTTCAACACAAGCTCCAGAGCTCCTGTACTAAAAGCTCTGAGTCTATGGTACTTGAACGACAGAGGGTTCTTCATGCAGGACCTCGCCTTCCCCAAGGAGCTTGGGAATTCTCTACTTCGTGTGCTGCCCCACCCAGCGCCCGTGTAAGAGTGCAGACAGGTGGGCCTTTTCCTGGGAGCAGGTTTCTTTCCAGACTAGGGAGTCTCTTAGCCCATCCTGCCTGTGAAAATCTTAGGAATGGATAAACAGTTGTTGGCCAGTGGCCACGTCCCAGCAAACACGACTTCCTAATAACAAAGTTTAAAGATGGGAGTCTGAGCATGAGAGTAAAGATCAGAGGGGATTATCATCCACTAAATTCAGATTCTCCTGGTTTGTTTTTTAAGATTTCTTATTCATTTTTCTGAAAGACAGAGCAAGAGAGAGGGGGGGGGGAAAGACAGTGAGAGAAAGAAATATAGTATTTATTGGTTCACTCCCCAGATGGCCACCAGAGCCACAGGACTGGACCAAGCTGAAGCCAGGCGCCAGGAACTCCATCCCAGTAGGTGGCCAAGGCCCAAGCACTTGGGCCATTCTCCTTTGTTGTCCCAGGTGCATTAGCAGGAAGCTGGATCACAAACTGGGCATTGAGGACTCTAACTAGCACTTTGCTATGAGAAGCCTGCGCCGTAAGCAGCAATTTAATCTGCTGAACCACACATCCCAGCTCCAGTTCCTCCTGTTTAAAACCAGGTCATGGAGGTTGCTGAGCTGAGCATTTGTTTATTATTGGGTCAACCATTTGAACTGGGAAAGTGACTGAGAATCTTAGTTGCCTCTGATAGAAGTAGGAAAAGGACTCAGGTCTGTTCTTCCCCAGAGTTCCCAGAGTGGTCTATGCTACCTCTGTGGGTGGACCACCAGCTCTTGTCCTATTCAACGCCGAAAGACAGAATTTCAGCCATCAAAGGTGCAGCAGATGAGTAGGTTACAAAAGAAGGAGGGAGACTGGCTAGGCGAGGCTACTATTAAGGATTGAGATGATCCACACGCTCCAGGAGGCCACAGGGCAAAGGGATCAAATGAGAGTTTGGGATGGGCTCAGACATCCACCCTCCAGCAAATTAATTTCCTTGGAGGCTCACAGCTCACTCACTGGGACGGGGAGCCAGCTGTAGTTAGTGCAAACTCTACTTCCTTGGGTCTCTAAAATTGACAGTGGTCTGTAGGTCAAGTTCCAACGGAAGTTATATTTCTGACCTAGCTCTATAAATAGAGCACTGGAAAAAACCCATCAGCTGCAATGGCCCCGGGACCACACGCTATCTATTAAATAAGTAACCGCAGTATCTGTGCTACCATTTTAGATGAGAAAAAAATACATCTTTTGTTATTTATAATCTCCTGAGCTTTGAGATTCTCAAAATATTTTAAAGCTATTAGTCTGCTTTGAGATTTACAAATAAAGGATCTGAGGCATAAAACCACGTAGTAACTGCCTCACCCAACACCATCTGCCCACCAGGGAAGGTATTCGCTGCTTCCCTTTGGTAGAGAAGAAAACCTCATTTCCAGTGTTTCTTGGCAAGAGGTGAAAGGGGCTGAATACAGTTCAGTCTTTACTTGTACAACACACCCAGGCCAATCCAAGGCTCAGCAAAACTCATTACAGAGGAAGGTAAGAAACACGAAGCGAAGACAAGAAAAGGTGGGGGCCACCAGTGAGCTCGGAATACAAGAGTTGGGAACTGGATTAATCTCCCACAGAAGGAGGTGGAGCACAAGTTGGGGTGAGCTAATCACTAGGATAAAGACTGGTATGCACCAACACAAATCATCCAACAGCTCTACTAACTTTGGTATGGGAAGAAAATACTTTAAGTTTCCCAGAGTCTTAGAGTGATTATGCAAGTTATCATGCAACCAGGACAGTTTTGACTATGACATGGGGACATTTCCATAAGTATTCTGGGTTAACAGAGATCGCTTGGGACCAGTGTGGACAAACCACAGCGTATGGTTGCCCTGCAGGGATACCATGTAGAAACTGCGCAGATTCACGGAGTGAGGATGCCCACTCTTCAAGAAAACACTCAGTGTGGAAAGCATCCTGGTGGCTAAGCAAACCTTTCTGTGACTGCATAGGGCTTCTCTGACGTGTCCCCAGTGACAGTCAAGATCTACAGCTAAGAACAACAGCTGGCTTGAGGAGAAGAGAGCTGGAGCACCTGAATAGAAGGCAGCAATGCCGCTGAACATCTGGCATAGTGGTTAAGATGCTGCTCGGGACATCCACATCCCACGCTGGAGTGCACGGGTTTGAGTCCCGGCTCCACTTCTGATCCCATTTCTTGTTAAGGTGCACCCTTGGAGGCAGTACGTGATGATTCAAGTCGCTGGGTCTCTGCAACCCATGTGGAAGACCTGGATGGGGTTCCTGACTCTTGGCTTCAGCCTGGTCCAGGCCCAGCTGTTGTGGGCCTTTGGAGCATGCACCAGTAGAGGGAAGAGCTCTGTCTCACTGTCTCTGACTCTCTCTGTAAAGGAAAAGAGGAAGGAAGGAAGGAAGGAAGGAAGGAAGGAAGGAAGGAAGGAGCGAGCGGGGGGAGGGGCGAACAATCTCCTTCCACCAGCTCAGCTCCCCACATTCTCCAGGGCGCCATGTCCCTGAATCTTTTCTCCAATAAATCAACTTCCCTCCTGCTAACTTCTATTTAAGGCGGGGGGGGGGGGGGGGAGGGGGACTCTGAATAGTGATTTGCAGTTAAGTCTCCTACCCTTTGAAAAGCACTTTTTAATTAAAAAATAAACTTAGAGAAAACCCATACCACCCCGATGCAAATGCTAGCAAAAATAAAACAAAGGAAACAAAACGTCAACCGTTGAAAGAAATCCAAAGCATTTTCTTTTTGCATTTAGGCTTCATTCAAGTTAAGCCAGGAAGATGCATACATGATGTGTTTTTCTTTTTTTTTTTTTTTTTCCACAGTGTGCTCTGTCTGCTCTCTGTGAATTCCTCCAACCATACCAATCAGCTGTCTCGGCGTGAGCTTTACTCCTCTCCCATGGTAGCCTCTGAGGCAGGAGGAGGACGCCAGAGCTGGAGCGAGTCTTGTGTTTTAGACACGGTCATCCATCTCATCTGTTGACCATTTGGTATCTGTTTCAGGGGACACTGGCTGAGGCAGGAGGCGTACAGCTGCTGCTTCTGGTCTCAGATTGCTACAGCCCTGACTGCTGGGAAAAGAAAAATCACCCTCCAATGTGTGCATCCAGACAACTGCACGCAGAGAGCCAGGAAGGATGAAAAATGGGATCTCCTTGACTGGGCGCTCCTCCTGGGGAGACATCAGCTATAGTGGAGTAAGATCTGGTGGCTCTGCCTGTCCAAGTCTGGACAATGGGAAAGCCAGGTGACAGCCCAGTGGACCGGAAAGCAAGGGGTCAAACTGTGGGTCATGCGGTTTGCCTTCGGGAAGTCGGGTCCCAGGGCACAACCAGGACTGGAAGCTGCCCCCCACCAAGGGCCTTGGCTGCTGTGGACTTTGGCCTGCGGAGGGGTGTGCTCACCTCAGGCCCGCACCGATCACTGGCTCTCGGCAAGCAGCAAGGACAGTGGATTGAGAGCAATGCTGCTGTTTATCAGGATGTGTGCTCTTGAAAAAGAAGTATTTCTCTGAAAGCCTCAATAGCTTGAAAAAAAAAAAAAACATCAATGCAAGGAGACATTTCTTTTTTCTTTTTTTCGTTTAACAGGCAGAGTGGACAGTGAGAGAGAGACAGAGAGAAAGGTCCTCCTTTGCCGTTGGTTCACCCTCCAATGGCCGCTGCGGCCGGCGCACTGCACTGATCCGAAGCCAGGAACCAGGTGCTTCTCCTGGTCTCCCATGGGGTGCAGGGCCCAAGCACTTGGGCCATCCTCCACTGCACTCCCTGGCCACAGCAGAGAGCTGGTCTGGAAGAGGGGCAACCGGGACAGAATCCGGCACCCCGACCGGGACTAGAACCCGGTGTGCCGGCGCCGCTAGGTGGAGGATTAGCCTAGTGAGCCGCGGCACCGGCTGCAAGGAGACATTTCAACTAAATACAACGTCTAATCCTGGACCGAATCCTGGAAGACTCTGCCATAAGGACATTGTCTTGACACCTGGAAAAGAGTGAATGTTGCCAGCGTATGAAGTAAGTGTATTGTTTCAATGCTAATTTCCTGAGTGAGATAACTGTATTACGGTTATGTAAGACAAGCTCATGTTCAACCTACTCTCAAATGGTAGAACTAAGATAAAAATATATTAACGTGCTAAAAATAAATTTGTAGGGGTGGGTGGTTTAGTGCAGTGGTTAAGACAGCACTTGGGAGTGGTTGGGTTCAAATCCTGGCCCTGTGTCTTTTTTTTTTTTTTTTTTTTAGATTTATGTATTTATTTGAAAGGCAGAGTTACAGAGTACACCGGGGAGGGGGACAGGGGACAGACAGATACACACACACACACACAGATATCTTCCATTCTGGTTCACTCCTCAAATAGCCACAACAACCAGGGCTGGGCCAGGCAAAAGCCAGGAGCCTGGAATTCTATCCTGCCTCCCACATGAGTGGCAGGGGCCCAAAGACTTGAGCCATCTTTCACTGTTCTCCCAGGTGCATTAGCAGGGAGCTGGATGGGAAGTGGAGCAGCTGGGACTTGGATCAGCGCCCGCATGGGAGGCCTGCATTTCAGGCCACAGCTTTACCAGTGCTGGATCCTGGTTAACTTTTTACAATGCAGAATCCGGGGTCCCTTCCCAAACCCAGTGAATCATAGTCTCTGGAGGCAATGCCTGGGAATATGCATTTTTTAAAAGCTCACTCTGATGATGCTTAACTACTACACTAACGTTTTGGGGAAAATAGCCACGTGTTAGGCACTTGCTGTTTTGCTGGCACGTGTGGACTCCGCAGACCTGAGAACAGTCACGACGCTCCTGCATTGGAACACCTCCAGGAAGCGTCTAGCTGTGCGACTCCACATCCTCTCATCTCGGAAGGTGTCACTCTGGAGAATGCCCTTTGCCCAGTTCTTAAGACTCCTATCTGCTGACTTTATCACCCACCCTCCTCCTCAGGGGAACAGAGAGGGGAGACTTAAATGCTCTTAGAGCTGCCATAATTCATCTGGTTGGAGTTGCTGTCAGGAGCCACCCAAACACTGATTCCAAAAAGCCTGGTGGAGGAGGGGCGGCTGACAGCCCCAGGCATGAAACAGGCCAGGGCTGGTGACAGGGCAGGGCCTCATTCCACGACCCTCATTAAGTCCCTCCTCGCTCATGCTCTTTGACCTGCACGTCTTCAAGACACCAAACAAGGCTTGGCCCTCGGCGTTCAAGCTCCCCTTTGTTTCCTCATTGAGCGCAGAGCTGAGTCAGGCGGGAAAGAGGATAAAGGGGAAGGGGAGAGAAGTCTTGCGCCACCTTGAACCTTCCAAAGTACGTGCCTGCACCTAAGGAATCCAGCTCGGAGGGCTGCCTTTGACCGCACTGCGCAGCCACGATTCCTGTGTCGGGGACACAGCAGAGACTTGACCACCCAAACCCACCTCGTTGCAGGCAGCAGAGCTGGGGCCTGAGCCCAGGCCTTCTAGGACTTTCCGGTCTCTTGGCATCAGAGAGCACATTGTGGTACAGAATGCTTTTAACTCCCACCTTGCCCAGAGTGTCAAGACTATTGCTTTGCCTTCCTCCCACCCCAGCTCAACGGCCCCCTTGGGTAGGTCAAGGATCATGATAGCAATCAGGATATATTCGGGCATGCCTGGGAGGGAATGGAAGGCACACAGCTCGGGGCCCTGCAGGCTCCACACAGGGGAGAGGGAAGAAGTAGGATGCTGAAATCGTTTGGTGGAGGTGCCCCTGGTGACTTGGGCTCCCTGAGCTGTGGACAAGAACCCCCAAAGGTCTTCATTTTCCCATGCTGACGAATTCATCGTGGCTGCTGAGTTCCTTCTGCATGGCTTGGATTTCCATGACATCTGGAACTGGGCTTCCTGAGCCAAGACTAGAAGCTGCTAGACTTCTGCTTTTTGGGGTGTGAGTGGGTACACACACACACGTGTGTGCACACGCGATGTCCCCATGGGTACCAGGCCCTGATAAGGCTGCTCACAACAATCACAGGAGGGAGGAGAATTCCACTTGGGACAGAAACGTATGGTGGCTTCCAGACGGCGAGTCGCCTGGTTCCATCAGGTTGCATACTGCCCACAGCGGTGGGGGAGGGAGGGATGGGCAGGTGTCTCAGGCAATGGAGATGACCTTCCTCGAACTTCCCCAAGTGTCCATTCACAAGAGTGTCTTGTTCAGTCAAGTACTTTCAGGCAGCCTCCTCATGGTGGGAGAGGGAACTAAGGAACACAACGTGCTGATGCCAGCAGGGCTATTTTAATGCGGGGGAACTGGTTTTGGTGGGCAGCAGGCAGTCAGGACACTTCTGCAAAATATGAATCCTTCAGCCAAGCAGTTTTCTTCTTCCTTGAAGGCCAGCGTTCATCCAGAAATTGGAAGGGAACTGTGGGGTTAGTGAAAGCGGCTAGCATTGGCCAAGTGATCAAGCCATCCACCTCGGTGTAGTGTGTCCCACGTCTCGGACATTGCAGGGAAGACTTACAAGGTCACATTTGGGAATAATCACTAGGTTCCAGGAGCCAGGCTACACACCTCACATACATTATCTCTGTGAGGGGAGGAAGCAGAACTGCAAAGAAAGTGATTTGCCCAAGGCCACCTGGCGAATGGCCGAGCCAGGATTTGAACCCTGCACTCTCATTCATTAATGCTCTTTTCTCTGTTTTTTTTTGGGCCCATTTAGAAAGGATTACAAAAGCAGGGCAGGGGCTGGCATTGTGGTGCATCAGGTTAAGCCGCTGCGTGCAAAGTGGGCATCCCGTTTAGCTACACCAGTTCAAGTTCCTGTTGCTCTGTTTCCCATCCAGCTTTCTGCGAATGCGCCTGGAAAGCAGCGGGGGATGACCCAAGCACTTAGGCCTCTGCTACCCATGTGGGAGACCCGGATGAAGCTCCTGGCTCCTGGCTTTAGGCTGGGCTCTTGCGGCCATTTGGGGAGTGAACCAGCAGATAGAAGATGTCTTTCTCCGTCTCTCCCTCTTTCTCTCTGTGCCATTCTTCCTTTCAAATAAATAAAATAAACCTTAAAAATTGCTTGGCTGAAGGATTCATATTTTGCAGAAGTGTCCTGACTGCCTGCTGCCCACCAAAACCAGTTCCCCCCTGCATTAAAATAGCCCTGCAGGCATCTGGGAGTCCTAGCTGCTGGGACACCCTGATCCCGGGTCGGAGCGCTGCAACGTTCACTCATTCACTCCAGCTCCCAGCTAGTGCACATCTGGGAGGCAGTGGTGAGGGCTCAGCTTCCCGCTCTGGCTTTAGCCTTCCCAGAGAGCGCTGTGGGCATCTGGGGAGCGAACCAGCAGATGGAAGATCTCTGTTTCTGTCTCGTTGCCTCTCAAATACATAATAAAAATTGAACAAAAGCAAGCACTGCAAGTCGGTCTCCGTGTCTGGGAGGGCGACCTCATGGTGTCGCACTCCTACCCTGTTTTGCAGACACCCACTCATTTTCTTCTCCTCATTAAATTAAATCGTAACAGTCAATGTCATCTCTGTCTTTCTAGAAAAGCACACTTTAACAATGCTCTCCCTCAGTTGTTGGGAAACTCTTTGTCATATGATAGGCTTCTAGAAACTGATCCCAAAGAAAAATAAATCTCCAGGTTTTCTCCAACTAAAAATATGTAAAATCACCCCAGTTGCCAAAATCCCGACCGCCTTTCCCTCTGTGACTATAATCTCCACATCTGGTTCCTTTCTTTGCCAGCAGTCCGCGATTATATATCTTTTTATATCTTAGGACGTTTCCTTATTTTATGACATTTCTAAGTAGAATTGCTATGTTAATCATCATTATAATCCCATTGAAAATTACATGATTTCTTTTATCAGTGTTAACTCCACAATGAAAAATGAAGGCAGCAGAAGGTAGACAGGACAGAGTGAGGAGGGCCCCGTGAAGCCAGCTGGCCCATCTTGCCCTCCGTGACGCGGCTGTGGGATGCAAGGTGGCCACTGGCACAGTGAGCCCTAACAAGCATGCGCTGTGTGCCGTCACTGTTCTGAGGGCTCGACACCAGCAGCTCCTCATCAGCTTAACAACGATATGAAGTAGATACGATCCTTGCCCATTGCACAGATGGCAAGGCTGTGGCTACACCGGCAGAGCTCGTAAGGGGTAGGGACAGGATGCAAACCACGACCGTGAGGAGCAGCCAGGGCTGGGAGCCTCGGTTCCAGATGGTCCTCAGGTCAGCAGCTGAGCTCGGCCTTTTTTTGTTTGTTAATTTTTAAGATTTATTTATTTATTTGAAAGGTAGAAGGGGGGGGGAGAGAGAGAGAGAGAGAGATTCCATCCATTGGCACTCCCCAAATGGCCACAACAACCAGGCCTGGGCCAGGCTGAAGCCAGGAGCTTTATCTAGGTCTCCCATGTGGGTGCAGGGGACCAACGACTTGGACCATCTTCTGCTGCTTTCCCAGGTGCATTAGCAGGGAGCTGGATTGGAAGTGAGGCATCCAGGACTCAAACTGCTGCCCATATGGGATGCTGGCATCACAGATGGCTGCTTCAACTGCTATGCCACAGGGCTGGCCCCTGAGCTTGACTTTGACAATGGAGCACTGAAGCATCCTTAACCAAGGACGTCTATGAAGTGCTCATGACATTGCCACAGAGTCATCTTGATAGAAGCAGAGCTGTGTGCTAAGAAATCGTGGAAGATTCTGTCCTCATGATTCTTAAGGAAAATGCTGTGTCCAAGGCCACAAGGTCAGTCACTGGGACAAACACCCCCCGACATCCATCACCTGGAGCTGGGATCCTGGCTTCACCCAGGGAGCACTGGAGACCCCCCTACCTGATTCTGGCCACCTCTGATGCTGTCTATGGCTCTGTTCAACATGGATAGCTTTGTAGCAGCCCTGGCCCCAAATTAAAAACAGCACAACGGGGCGGGCGTTTAGCCTAGTGGTCGAGACGTGGCCCCAGGCCTGCATCTCACGTGGGAGCACCTGGGTTCTACAGCTGCCTCTGGCTCCTGGCTCTAGGTTCCTCCAGTGATGGCTCAAGTAGTTGGGCTCCTGCTACACATGTGGGAGACCAGGGCTGAGTTCCCTGCACCTGGCTTCAGCCTAGCTTCAGTCCAGCCCAGTCCCGGCCACGGTGGGCAACTGGGGAGTGAGTGGAACCAGCAGATAGGAGCTCTGTCTCTCTCCACCTCTGGCGTAAAAACCTAAAACACAACACAACAACAACATCATAGCAGCAAGAACAAAAGAATAATGGTGATGAGTGGTGGAGGACTTTGAGGATGTTAAGACGTCCGAGTGGGGGGTGGGGAGAAGGTGGGCTTCCTCGTCAGAGGGGCCGGGGGCTTCCAGTAGCAGCCTAACACTCGTTATTGCTACGCATTTTCACCACGGAAGTGTCTTTCTGCTCTCTCCCTCCCCTTCCCTACGAAAAGAATACCCCCTGGATAATCACAAACTCCGACAGGAGGAGGCCCTTGCTTCAAAAATAAATTTACAAAAATAAAACCTCAAAAACCCCCAGTGGTTGCAAAACAGCTTTGTCTGCGGGAGGGGCCCGTTTTATGCCGAGCGGCTCATTTCATAGGATCTGGGTCGGGGGTGGAGAGGGGAGAGATGAGAGGGAGAAAGGATGGGCGCACACAAGGAGGGGAGGCAGGGGAGGAGGGGATAAAGGAGGAGGAATTGAGGGTTTTAAAAAGCAACATTGTCCAGAGAGGTGAAAAGGAGCAGATGGCCGTGGAGAATGTGGCCCTCAGAGCTCTGAGAAAGGGGCCGTGCTGACAGATCTCGCTGTTTCCCACTGCCGCCTGAATGTTCTGGTGTGGGGGACAGAACTCTGTTCCCAGCGGCTCACTGGGGAGCGGCGGGGCGGGGAGGCAGGCAGCTGTGCCCACTGCGGGCGACAGCAGGGACCTGCGGGGTCCAGAGCCTTCTCTCTGGCCCAGCCTGGGGAGGTCTTTACCCTGGCAGAGGTGAAGGAAGGGACAGGAGCCAGGCCCCGAAGTCTCAGCATCCTCCCCTTGGGGGAGGCACGTCTGGGAAAAAATACAAACCTTGGGAGAGGGAAATGAAGAACTCCGAATGTTTGCAGAGAACTGAGTGGCTCAAACTACAATAAACAAGAAATCTGGGGCTCGGGAAAAGGTCAGAGAATCCCGCCAAGTAAATCCCCTATTGTTTCGCGGAGTCTCAGGACAGAGGAGTGGCTGGCTGGCTGGCTGGCTGGCTGGCGAAAACGCAAAAATGAGTTGGTGGCAGACTCGGGAAGGGGTTCAGGGGTGGGTCTCGCCCCCAGGGACCTGCAGATCTCCAGGTGGGCTGGCCTGGCAGGACAGGGCAGAGGAGCAGCAGAGGGGGCCCTGGCGTCAGGCGTTGTGTCTGTGCCCATGGGGACGGAACTCGCTGTCTGCAGCTATGCCCCTCTGGACAGCTGATACCGGAGACGCGAGCCACTGCCCGGCAGCACTGGCACGTGAACCTAGGACCAGCTGGTCGGCCTGTCCTTCTACGGGGAGAGACAGAGGCCTGCAGGGCAGGTGCAGTCGGGTACAGTCCGCAGAAGCAGCGATCCCAAAGACGCAATCAGGGTGACTGCCTTCATGGAAGGAACACGATGGTGCCCCACGGCATCCTGACCTCGCCTTACACCTTTCAGAGAGGACCATGGGGAAGTTCAGTGCTGCTGCTACCTATGGGGAGGGAGCTTCCTTCTTCCTGGTTGACCAGTTGGCCCACAGAGGGCTGCACAAACTCAAAACATCTCTCTGGTTCTGATTTTCTCCTTGCTCTTCTTCCCTGGCACCAGAGATGAGAGAGACTTGAACTTGGGGCAGAGGGTCTTGCAACAGGGGGCCACAGGTTTGGAGAAACAGAAGCCTGGTCAGAACAGTCACTTGGAAGCACCCCCACACAGGTCAGGCCCCTCAACATCTCTCACCTGACCCCTTTGTTGGAGTGAGGGGGAAAAACGAGGGGCTCTAACTACAAGTAGTGACCTGGCATATCCGCCTTCACCTGAGACCAGGTCTTCGTTCCCCAGGATGAAAGAGGATGCCCCCACTTTGCACTGCACATACATTTGAGTCAGGCAGAAAATTCCCATGGAGCAGCACAGAAAAAAAAAAAAAAAAAAAAAAGATCAACCATGATAAAGACCTTGCCTTTCATTCCCCTGCTTCATCCAAATCGCTCCCCAGGCGCTTTCGATTTAGAAGCTCCACTAATCAACCTTATAAACAGCAGGCCCGGCTCTGCATAGAATTACTTTGTATAGCTCCCAAGTGAAATTACCCTGTGGGACAGAAGATGCCCAAGGCTTTAACAATCACGACGTAACATAGCTTTGGGAGAGAACAGAAGACAAGCACACTCTGACATCCCAATTGAAACTCCAGTCTGGGTCCCACATAGAAAGAATGTAATTACCTTTCCTGGGTTGACGGTGCACTAAAGAAACTGGAGAAGTGGGATACCTATTAGGTGCCCACTAATCCTCCTCCGAAATTCAAAGCAGGGCTAGGCCCTGGAATTCATTTCTGAGTATTCTTACTCTCCACTATTGTGAAACAGCTCCATTGATAAGTGCTTCCAGCTAATAATGGTTTCTACTCAGCTCGGCCCTCCTCTTTCCCAGAGGCTCAAAGCACTTTACAAATATCACCTCATTATTCTTTATAGCACTCAAGTGAGCCTGATAGGTGGAAAGCTTCATTATCTTTCCTTACCAACAGGGGAAACAGACAAAGGAAGAAGAAGTGACTGTTGAGGCCAGCAGAGCAGAGGCCGGACTGGAAGGGAAACCCAGCCATCCTCCCAACGGCAGAGTGTGCACGTGGCCTTTCCGCTGACAGTGTGGAAAAGCCCGGGATCCGCCTGCTCTGGGCTGTGTTGCAATCCACAGGTCTGCGGAGCTGGGGCAAAGGGCACACAGAGAAGGAGATGCCCCACTCGAGCAAGGTCTTAGCTCGTCCATCGGACAGGTTTCCTTGCCTCAGAGTCCTGGGCACCCTCCAGGGAAGGAGAGGTGTTTAGATGACAGAATCTCGAAGGTTCCCTCC